GCGTTACTGTTTCTTAGTACTAAGGCAGTTCGTTACTGTTTCTTAGTACTCAGGCAGTGCGTTACTGTTTCTTAGTACTAAGGCAGTTCGTTACTGTTTCTTAGTACTCAGGCAGTTCGTTACTGTTTCTTAGTACTCAGTGCGTTACTGTTTCTTAGTACTCAGACAGCGCGTTACTGTTTCTTAGTACTAAGGCAGTGCGTTACTGTTTCTTAGTACTCAGGCAGTGCGTTACTGTTTCTTAGTACTCAGGCAGTGCGTTACTGTTTCTTAGTACTCAGGCAGTGCGTTACTGTTTCTTAGTACTAAGGCAGTTCGTTACTGTTTCTTAGTACTCAGGCAGTGCGTTACTGTTTCTTAGTACTAAGGCAGTTCGTTACTGTTTCTTAGTACTCAGGCAGTGCGTTGCTGTTTCTTAGTACTCAGGCAGTGCGTTACTGTTTCTTAGTACTCAGGCAGTGCGTTACTGTTTCTTAGTACTCAGGCAGTGCGTTACTGTTTCTTATACTCAGACAGTGCGTTACTGTTTCTTAGTACTAAGGCAGTGCGTTACTGTTTCTTAGTACTAAGGCAGTGCGTTACTGTTTCTTAGTACTCAGTCAGTGCGTTACTGTTTCTTAGTACTCAGGCAGTTCGTTACTGTTTCTTAGTACTCAGGCAGTGCGTTATTGTTTCTTAGATACTCAGGCAGTGCGTTACTGTTTCTTAACTCAGGCAGTGCGTTACTGTTTCTTAGTACTAAGGCAGTTCGTTACTGTTTCTTAGTACTCAGGCAGTGCGTTACTGTTTCTTAGTACTCAGACAGTGCGTTACTGTTTCTTAGTACTAAGGCAGTGCGTTACTGTTTCTTAGTACTCAGGCAGTGCGTTACTGTTTCTTAGTACTCAGGCAGTGCGTTACTGTTTCTTAGTACTCAGGCAGTTCGTTACTGTTTCTTAGTACTCAGGCAGTGCGTTATTGTTTCTTAGTACTCAGGCAGTGCGTTACTGTTTCTTAGTACTAAGGCAGTTCGTTACTGTTTCTTAGTACTCAGGCAGTGCGTTACTGTTTCTTAGTACTAAGGCAGTTCGTTACTGTTTCTTAGTACTCAGGCAGTGCGTTACTGTTTCTTAGTACTCAGGCAGTGCGTTACTGTTTCTTAGTACTCAGGCAGTGCGTTACTGTTTCTTAGTACTCAGGCAGTGCGTTACTGTTTCTTAGTACTCAGCAGTTGCGTTGCTGTTTCTTAGTACTAAGGCAGTTCGTTACTGTTTCTTAGTACTCAGGCAGTGCGTTACTGTTTCTTAGTACTAAGGCAGTTCGTTACTGTTTCTTAGTACTCAGGCAGTTCGTTACTGTTTCTTAGTACTCAGACAGTGCGTTACTGTTTCTTAGTACTCAGACAGTGCGTTACTGTTTCTTAGTACTAAGGCAGTGCGTTACTGTTTCTTAGTACTCAGACAGTGCGTTACTGTTTCTTAGTACTCAGGCAGTGCGTTACTGTTTCTTAGCACTCAGGCAGTGCGTTACTGTTTCTTAGTACTAAGGCAGTTCGTTACTGTTTCTTAGTACTCAGGCAGTGCGTTACTGTTTCTTAGTACTAAGGCAGTTCGTTACTGTTTCTTAGTACTCAGACAGTGCGTTACTGTTTCTTAGTACTCAGGCAGTGCGTTACTGTTTCTTAGTACTAAGGCAGTTCGTTATTGTTTCTTAGTACTCAGACAGTGCGTTACTGTTTCTTAGTACTCAGACAGTGCGTTACTGTTTCTTAGTACTAAGGCAGTGCGTTACTGTTTCTTAGTACTCAGGCAGTGCGTTACTGTTTCTTAGTACTCAGGCAGTGCGTTACTGTTTCTTAGTACTCAGGCAGTTCGTTACTGTTTCTTAGTACTCAGGCAGTGCGTTATTGTTTCTTAGTACTCAGACAGTGCGTTACTGCTTCTTAGTACTCAGACAGTGCGTTACTGCTTCTTAGTGCTCAGGCAGTGCGTTACTGTTTCTTAGTACTCAGACAGTGCGTTACTGTTTCTTAGTACTAAGGCAGTGCGTTACTGTTTCTTAGTACTCAGGCAGTGCGTTACTGTTTCTTAGTACTCAGGCAGTGCGTTACTGTTTCTTAGTACTCAGGCAGTTCGTTACTGTTTCTTAGTACTCAGGCAGTGCGTTATTGTTTTTTAGTACTCAGACAGTGCGTTACTGCTTCTTAGTACTCAGTGCGTTACTGCTTCTTAGTACTCAGACAGTGCGTTACTGTTTCTTAGTACTCAGACAGTGCGTTACTGTTTCTTAGTACTAAGGCAGTGCGTTACTGTTTCTTAGTACTCAGGCAGTGCGTTACTGTTTCTTAGTACTCAGGCAGTGCGTTACTGTTTCTTAGTACTCAGGCAGTTCGTTACTGTTTCTTAGTACTCAGGCAGTGTGTTATTGTTTCTTAGTACTCAGACAGTGCGTTACTGTTTCTTAGAACTAAGACAGTGCGTTACTGTTTCTTAGAACTAAGACAGTGCGTTACTGTTTCTTAGAACTAAGACAGTGCGTTACTGTTTCTTAGAACTAAGACAGTGCGTTACTGTTTCTTAGAACTAAGACAGTGCGTTACTGTTTCTTAGTACTCAGACAGTGCGTTACTGTTTCTTAGTACTCAGACAGTGCGTTACTGTTTCTTAGAACTAAGACAGTGCGTTACTGTTTCTTAGTACTCAGACAGTGCGTTACTGTTTCTTAGAACTAAGACAGTGCGTTACTGTTTCTTAGTACTCAGACAGTGCGGTACTGTTTCTTAGAACTAAGACAGTGCGTTTACTGTTCTTAGTACTCAGACAGTGCGTTACTGTTTCTTAGAACTAAGACAGTGCGTTACTGTTTCTTAGTACTCAGACAGTGCGTTACTGTTTCTTAGTACTCAGACAGTGCGTTACTGTTTCTTAGAACTAAGACAGTGCGTTACTGTTTCTTAGTACTCAGACAGTGCGTTACTGTTTCTTAGAACTAAGACAGTGCGTTACTGTTTCTTAGAACTAAGACAGTGCGTTACTGTTTCTTAGTACTCAGACAGTGCGTTACTGTTTCTTAGAACTAAGACAGTGCGTTACTGTTTCTTAGAACTAAGACAGTGCGTTACTGTTTCTTAGTACTCAGACAGTGCGTTACTGTTTCTTAGTACTCAGACAGTGCGTTACTGTTTCTTAGTACTCAGACAGTGCGTTACTGTTTCTTAGTACTCAGACAGTGCGTTACTGTTTCTTAGTACTCAGACAGTGCGTTACTGCTTCTTAGTACTCAGACAGCGCGTTACTGCTTCTTAGTACTCAGACAGCGCGTTACTGCTTCTTAGTACTCAGACAGTGCGTTACTGCTTCTTAGTACTCAGACAGTGCGTTACTGCTTCTTAGTACTCAGACAGTGCGTTACTGCTTCTTAGTACTCAGACAGCGCGTTACTGTTTCTTAGTACTCAGACAGTGCGTTACTGCTTCTTAGTACTCAGACAGTGCGTTACTGTTTCTTAGTACTCAGACAGTGCGTTACTGCTTCTTAGTACTCAGACAGTGCGTTACTGCTTCTTAGTACTCAGACAGTGCATTACTGTTTCTTAGTACTCAGACAGTGCGTTACTGTTTCTTAGTACTCAGACAGTGCGTTACTGTTTCTTAGTACTCAGACAGCGCGTTACTGCTTCTTAGTACTCAGACAGTGCGTTACTGTTTCTTAGTACTCAGACAGTGCGTTACTGTTTCTTAGTACTCAGACAGTGCGTTACTGTTTCTTAGTACTCAGACAGTGCGTTACTGTTTCTTGAGTACTCAGACAGTGCGTTACTGCTTCTTAGTACTCAGACAGTGCGTTACTGTTTCTTAGTACTCAGACAGTGCGTTACTGCTTCTTAGTACTCAGACAGTGCGTTACTGTTTCTTAGTACTCAGACAGTGCGTTTACTGCTTCTTAGTACTCAGACAGTGCGTTACTGCTTCTTAGTACTCAGACAGTGCGTTACTGTTTTCTAGTACTCAGACAGTGCGTTACTGTTTCTTAGTACTCAGACAGTGCGTTACTGTTTCTTAGTACTCAGACAGCGCGTTACTGCTTCTTTAGTACTCAGACAGTGCGTTACTGTTTCTTAGTACTCAGACAGTGCGTTACTGTTTCTTAGTACTCAGACAGTGCGTTACTGTTTCTTAGTACTCAGACAGTGCGTTACTGTTTCTTAGTACTCAGACAGTGCGTTACTGCTTCTTAGTACTCAGACAGTGCGTACTGTTTCTTAGTACTCAACAGTGCGTTACTGTTTCTTAGTACTCAGACAGTGCGTTACTGCTTCTAGTACTCAGACAGTGCATTACTGTTTCTTAGTACTCAGACAGTGCGTTACTGTTTCTTAGTACTCAGACAGTGCGTTACTGCTTCTTAGTACTCAGACAGCGCGTTACTGTTTCTTAGTACTCAGACAGCGCGTTACTGTTTCTTAGTACTCAGACAGTGCGTTACTGTTTCTTAGTACTCAGACAGTGCGTTACTGCTTCTTAGTACTCAGACAGTGCATTACTGTTTCTTAGTACTCAGACAGTGCGTTACTGTTTCTTAGTACTCAGACAGTGCGTTACTGCTTCTTAGTACTCAGACAGCGCGTTACTGTTTCTTAGTACTCAGACAGCGCGTTACTGTTTCTTAGTACTCAGACAGCTCGTGTGTATTGCTTCGTATGTTTACATTCCTTACCAGAGCTTTAATTCCTGAAACTTTACAGTGAAACGTTGTAAATGTTGCTATTATTATTGTTCGTATTTAATTTCACTAACGCTGGCATTATCAGTTCCGTTACTTTCACGTCAGATACCAACTCTTCCTCCTTCTCCTCGTCCTCCTCCTCCTCCTTCTTTTCCACTTCCTCTGCCTCTTTCTCTTCATCCTTCTCCTATTGCTCGTTCATTACGTTTGCCTCCTCTTCACCCAGCATCACTCAATATTCAGATAATTTTTTTTTTCTTATTTCCTGCTGTAACTGACATGAGGTGGTTTTTCCAGTGTGACGCCCCAGGAATGTTCACCGTGTGATGACGACGAGTGTCCGACCCTGGCTCCCAAGAGCTGCATCTGGGGCATGCTGAAGGACCCATGCTTATGCTGCCACGTCTGTGCCAAGGTAGGTGTCAGTCACTGTGCCAAGGTAGGTGTCAGTCACTGTGCCAAGGTAGGTGTCAGTCACTGTGCCAAGGTAGGTGTCAGTCACTGTGCCAAGGTAGGTGTCAGTCACTGTGCCAAGGTAGGTGTCAGTCACTGTGCCAAGGTAGGTGTCAGTCACTGTGCCAAGGTAGGTGTCAGTCACTGTGCCAAGGTAGGTGTCAGTCACTGTGCCAAGGTAGGTGTCAGTCACTGTGCCAAGGTAGGTGTCAGTCACTGTGCCATGGTAGGTGTCAGTCACTGTGCCAAGGTAGATGTCAGTCACTGTGCCAAGGTAGGTGGGCAGTCACTGTGCCAAGGTAGGTGTCAGTCACTGTGCCAAGGTAGGTGTCAGTCACTGTGCCAAGGTAGGTGTCAGTCACTGTGCCAAGGTAGGTGTCAGTCACTGTGCCAAGGTAGGTGTCAGTCACTGTGCCAAGGTAGATGTCAGTCACTGTGCCAAGGAAAGGGTAAACGGAAATACGCAACTTTGCTTGACTTTCTCGTGTTATTATTAGATGTTAACCTTCTAGGGTTACTAGAAGGTTAACTTGTAGAAGTTTAAACCTTCTAGGGTTACTGGAAGGTTAAACCTTCTAGGGTTACTGGAAGGTTAAACCTTCTAGGGTTACTGGAAGGTTAGCATCTAGAAGATTAACCTTCTAGGATTGTTAGAAGGTTAACATCTAGAAGGTTAACCTTCAAGGGTTACTAGAAGGTTAACATCTCTTAAGCTTACAAGCGCCTGTATATAAAATAATCGCGAACAAGTGATGCAAGATGCAAAACAACAACAGGGGGAGTTCAGTGATAGCTCTTGGCCTTTCGTATTGCAATCAACACATTATCAGGAGTTTGCAGTGTTGCAAATGAGTAGGAAGCCCGAGTAGTTTCGTTCAGAGGAAAGATTCTAGCTGGAATTATTCCCCTCAACGAAACTGCTTGGACTTCTTAGTCATTTTTACAACATTGCAAGCTCCTGATGATGTTGATAGCAACATGAAAGGCCTAAACAATCGCAGTATATATATAAATATAATATAAATATATATATATATATATATATATATATATATATATATATATATATATATATATATATATATATATATATATATATATATATATAATATATATATATATATATATATATATATATATATATATATATATATATATGGGATGAATTGTAATGGTCCTGCCTAGTATGGGCCAACAGGCCTCCTGCAGTGCTTCTCCTTTCTTATGTTCTTATGTTTTTATATGTGTGTGTGTGTGTGTGTGTGTGTGTACTTACCTGTTTGTGGTTGCAGGGGTCGATTCATAGCTCTTGGCCTCTTCACTGATCGCTACTAGGTCCTCTCTCTCCCTGCTCCATGAGCTTTATCATACCTCGTCTTAAAACTTGCCAGACTGTTCCACTTCCTGACAACTCTGTGACTAAAGAAATATTTCCTAACATCTCTTTGACTCATCTGAGTCTTCAACTTCCAATTGCGACCCCTTGTTTCTGTGTCCCATCTCTAGAACATCCTGTCTCTGTCTACCTTGTCAATTTCACGCAGTATTTTATATCTCGTTATCATGTCTCCCCTGACCCTCCTGTCCTCCAGTGTCGTCAGACCGATTTCCCTTAACCTTTCTTCCTAGGACATTCCCTTTAGCTCTGGAACCAGCTTTGTTGCAAACCTTTGCACTTTCTCTAATTTCTTGACGTGTTTGACCAGGTGTGGGTTCCAAACTGGTGCTTCATACTCCAGTATGGGCCTGACGTACACGGTGCACAGAGTCTTGAACGATTCCTTATTGAGGTATTAGAACGCTATTTTTCTCGGTATTATACTCACCCCAAGATCCTTTTCCTTGAGTGAGGTTTGCAGTCTTTGGCCACCTAGCCTACATTCTGATTGCGGTCTTATTTTCCCTTCCCCGATCTTCATGACTTTGCATTTGTTGGGGTTAAATTCGAGGAGCCAGTTGCTGGACCAAACATTCAGCCTGTTCAGGTCTCTTTGTAGTCCTGCCTGATTAATATCCGATTTAATTCTCCTCATTAACTTCACATCACCTGCAAACAGGGACACTTCTGAGTCTATCCCTTCCGTTATATCATTCACATATACCAAAAATAGCACTGGTCCTTGGACTGACCCCTGTGGAACCCCGCTCGTTAGAGGCGCCCACTCTAACACCTCTTCACGTACCATAACTCGTTTTTGCCTCCCTGTCAGTTATTCTCTGGTCCATTGCAGTACCTTTCCTGTTATATGTGCCTGATCCTCTAGCTTTTGCACTAATCTCTTGTGAGGAACTGTGTCGAAGGCCTTCTTGCAGTCCAAGAAAATGCAGTCCACCCACCCCTTCCTTTCGTGTCTTCCGTTACCTTGTCATAAAACTCAAGTAGGCTTGTGACACAGGATTTTCCTTCCATGGATCCGTGCTGGTTGTTTATAAACTTGTTCCGTTCTAGGTACTCCACCACTCTCCTGATAATCTTTGCCATGACTTTGCATATTATGCATGTCAGTGACACTGGTCTATAGTTTAGTGCCTCGTGTCTGTCTCCTTTCTTAAAAATGGGGACTACATTTGTCGTCTTCCATGCCTCAGGTAGTTGCCCGGATTCAATGGATGTGTTGAAAATTGTTGTTAGTGGCACACACAGTATCTCTGCTCTCTCTCTAAGGACCCATGGAGAGATGCTTGGTCCCCCCGCCTTTGAGGTATCACGGTCACATAGCAGCTTCTTCACCTCCTCCTCGGTTGTGTGCATTTCATCCAACGCTTGTTGGTATATTCCTTATTGGTGTACCCTCCCTGTTCTGACTTCCCGGAATCCTTTCTGTCTCCACTGTGAATACTTCCTTAAATCTCATGTTGATCTCCTCACACATTTCTTGGTCGTTTCTTGTGAGCTCCCCACCTTCTTTCCTTAGCCTAATCACCTGGTCCTTGACTGTTGTCTTCCACCTAATGTGGCTATACAACAGCTTCGGGTCAGACTTGACTTTTGATGCTATGTCGTTTTCGTACTGTCACTAGGCCTCCCTCCTTATCTATGCATACTCGTTTCTGGCTCTTCGACTAATCTCTTTATTTTCCTGGGTCTTTTGTCTTCTGTACTTTTTTTTATTCTCTAGCGCACTTAGTTTTTGCCTCCCTACACCTTTGGGTAAACCAAGGGCTCGTTGTGGTCTTCCCATTATTTCTGTTGCCCTTCCGAACAAACCTTTTCTCTGCCTCCTTGGATTTTGTTGTTATGTAGTCTATCATTTTGTTAACTGATTTTTCTTACCAATTCTCTTTCTCACTGAACCTCCTGCAGGAAGTTCCTCATGCCTGCGTAGTCGTTATCATGTCCCCCATATCTCTCCTGTCCTCCAGTGTCGTCAGGTTGATTTCCCTTAACCTCTCCTCGTAGGACATACCTCTTAGCTCTGGAACTAGTCTTGTTGCAAACCTTTGCACTTTCTCTAGTTTCTTTACGTGCTTGGCTAGGTGTGGGTTCCAAACTGGTGCCGCATACTCCAATATGGGCCTAACGTACACGGTATACAGAGTCCTGAACGATTCCTTATTAAGATGTCGGAATGCTGTTCTGAGGTTTGCTAGGCGCCCATATTCTGCAGCAGTTAGTTGGTTGATGTGCGATTCAGATGTGCCTGGTGTTATACTCACCCCAAGACCTTTTTCCTTGAGTGAGGTTTGTAGTATCTGGCCCCCTAGACTGTACTCCGTCTGCGGGCTTCTTTGCCCTTCCCCAATCTTCATGACTTTGCACTTGGTGGGGTTGAACTCCAGGAGCCAATTGCTGGACCAGGTCTGCAGCCTGTCCGGATCCCTTTGTAAACAGGGACACTTCGGAGTCTATTCCTTCCGTCATGTCGTTCACAAATACCAGAAACAGCGCTGGTCCTAGGACTGACCCCTGTGGGACCTCACTGGTCACAGGTGCCCACTCTGACACCTTGCCACGTACCATGACTCGCTGCTGTCTTCCTGACAAGTATTCTCTGATCCATTGTAGTGCCTTCCCTGTTATCCCTGCTTGGTCCTCCATTTTTTGCACTAATCTCTTGTGTGGAACTGTGTCAAATGCCTTCTTGGATTCCAAGAAAATGCAATGCACCCACCCCTCTCTCTCTTATCTTACTGCTGTCACCATGTCATAGAACTCCAGTAGGTTTGTGACACAGGATTTCCCGTCCCTGAAACCATGTTGGCTGCTGTTGATGAGATCATTCCTTTCTAGGTGTTCCACCACTCTTCTCCTGATAATCTTCTCCATGACTTTGCATGCTATACATGTCAGTGACACTGGTCTGTAGTTTAGTGCTTCATGTCTGTCTCCTTTTTTAAAGATTGGGACTACATTTGTTGTCTTCCATGCCTCAGGCAATCTCCCTGTTTCGATAGATGTGTGTGTGTGTGTACTCACCTAATTGTTGTTGCAGGGTTCGAGACTCAGCTCCTGGCCCCGCATGTGTGTGTGTGTGTGTTTGTGTGTGTGTGTGTGTGTGTGTGTGTGTGTGTGTGTGTGTGTGTGTGTGTGTGTGTGTGTGTGTGTGTGTGTGTGTGTGTGTGTGGCTCTAGGCCTTTCATATTGCAATCAACACATCTCGTAATAATTTAGGTCTCTAGCAGTTAAATTTTTCTAACTCCTTTTCCCTAATACTCCCTTTTGTTAAATCCCATTTACCTTGTATACCTTGTACATGCACTTGTAGAAATAAAGATATATGATATTTTAATCGCCATGTTAGGAGTACTGATAATAGTTGAGAAGCGGCAGTGATATGTCACAGTTGGATGATAAGTTCAATTCGGTTCTTAAATTGCAGAGTTCTTCTTTCTTATATCTGCAGCTTTCTTTAACGCTGGGTTATAAATTTCGGCAGTAAATACAACAGAAATAAATCGAAGACTCCAATGGAAATAAGTTGCTTTTTTGTGACTTTTTTAAGAGGATTACCCTAGGTAATTTACACTACCTTTGATAATTATACTTATGTGTACCTGTGCTTTTATAAAATGGAAATAAGTCACTTTGTCTGACTTTTGGGTTATCCTAGGTAATCTACACATATGCTGCTATGTATGATAATTTGTGTAACTGGACTCACCTAAGTGTGGCTGCAGGGGTCGATTCATAGCTCCTGGCCCCGTCTATTCACTGGTCGTTACTAGGCACTCTCCCTGCTCCATAAATTTTATCACACCTTTTGGTATGATAAAGCTAACCCTCCGGGGTTAAAAATCCTAACAAAATCTTATCTTACTTAGAAGTACTACTGCTGCTGTCTTTAGAAAAGTCCACCATGAAATTTTCGTTTTCTGAAGTATTTCGGTATATATTACACCATAGAAAATTTATTTACATGGGATACTATTAAGTATGAAAATAAGTACGTAACTTGGTATATTGGACTCGTATATAAGCTCAAACTCTTAGAATAGCTTTATAAAATATATTGTGTAGAATTTAACTTTTTACTACCTAATTACATAATTTATTTATAGGGGGTTAGGATATGTTTAACAGGTGGTGAACATTTTTTTGGGTTATCCTTAGGTAATTTACACTACGTACGATAGTTCTTTAGCTTTTATTTAATTTCTACAAGTACATGTACAAGGTATAAAGACCATAACTGACATCAGTGACATACTATTATATAGAAAACAACTTGTTATGCAGAGCATTTCGGGCAATTTAGATTAATTTTGTCCCAGGATGCGACCCACACCAGTCGACTAACACCCAGGTTGTATTCTTATGTGTACTTGTACCTAAATAAACTTACGCTGAGAGTTTACTGTAATCCCTATTTTAGGGATTAAAAGGTTGGTTACCAGAAGTGAACAGATTTGATTCAAGGATTAATCACTATAGTAAATGATAAGCAAGGGTAGTGGAAGAAAGTCAAGGAAGGAGAGAAAGACTGAAAGAACTTAAGGGATAAAGAATAAGAGAAGAAAATCTAATGGACAGCAGCCCTTCTACTTCGAAGTTTAAATTGGGAATGCATGTGTGTAAAGCGAAACAGATTTGACCATACCTAAAGTGCCACAGAGACAATTTTTTCTAGTCAAAAGTTCGGATCCCTGTTGTTTAGAATATCTTCCCAGCATATTTCATTTAGAACATAGTTAATTTGATCCCACTGGATGTTTTAGTTATTAAAGTTGTATTTGGTGAAGACGCCCTCATAATTGATATCATTTTGCTAGTCAGGAGCCATACGCATACAAGTCCGAACTTCGAATAGGTCGTGATGCAAATGTATTACCTTTGGTATTGTTATATTTCGTGCCAGATCTTTATTATGAGCGAAAATAAGGTCAAGTGTATTTTCCAGTTTTTTCGGCTCCACTGTTTGCTAGCTTAAGGTGAATTTGTTGCACACATTCAATAGCTCATCTGTGTGAGAATTTTCATCTGAGCTGCCTCCACGGTAGCCCGTGGCCTGGTGGCAAAAGCTTTTGCTTCACACGCTTAGGGTTCGAGCTCAAGTCCCGACAAAGGATGGAAACATTGGGCGTGTTTCCTTACACGCACCTAAAGTCGGTTCCTGACCAGCCGGGCTGTGGCTCGTACGTTGGTTTGCGTGCAGCCAGCAGTAACAGCCTGGTTGATCAGGCTCTGATCCACCAGGAGGCCTGGTCACAGACCGGGCCGCGGGGGCGTTGACCCCCGGAACTCTCTCCAGGTAAACTCCAGGTAAACACCTGTTCATGTTCACCTGTCAGTAAAATTGGGTACCTGGGTGTTAGTCGACTGGTGTGGGTCACATACTAGGACAAAAATGACCTAATTTGCTCGAAATGCTCAGCATAACAAGAGGCTTTCTATATAGTAGTATGTCATTGATGTCAGCTATGGTCTGTAAACCTTGTACATGTACTTGTAGAAATAATATTATTATTATTATTATTATTATTATTATTATTATTATTATTATTATTATTATTATTATTATTGTTGTTGTTATCTGCGCTATAAAAATTTTTTTGCCCCATTCTTCCATTTTAGAAGTCTTAAGTTGAAATCATCCAGCACCAGCAGTCACCAAGCTGGGGATGGAAGATTTTCCAGGAAGTGAATTTTCAGAAACTGTTCCTTAAATTGTTGATAAGTGGCATCCGGTGGCTTGTATACTTCCATAATGACTGGGTTTTAGTTCTCAGTCTTTACTGCCAAAACCTCAATTACTTTTTTATGGTGTTTAGTAATTCTGAATTGTGTAGAAGACCGGAAGTTATGCATGCCCAAAAGTCTGGCCAGGTTCATTTTAGAGGGCGCTGATATCCGGTGAGCTGATACATGTTACATCTGACTTTACCACATCTCACCGCCTTTGACTGTACATTCTCTGATTTTATGTACTCTGTAGTGGATCGAAGAAGCTCCTGGTAAGCGAAACATCTTAATATAAGTCCCCTATACATTGCATATGTCTTCTATATAAGTGTTAAATCATCCTTATAAATTTATTCTGCTTTGCAACACAATTCCACAACAGCAACACTAACAATACCTCGACACTATCACTATCTACATAAATACAAATTAATAAAACATTTATGTAACTGTATTTGTGTATACCTGAATAAACTTACTTACTTACTTACTTACTTACTATGCCTGAGCTTCACTGTCGTCACTCCCAGGAGAACATAAATTTTATTGCCAATTTCGTAACACTACTAAGATCATTGGTAGGCCTAGGAATGAACGGACGGTTATATGTTTGGAAATTATCTATCACATTTATTATTTTAATCAAACTTGAAAAGTAGATTTGAGTGTATTATCTAGTTTGTTATTTAAGTTTCTCTCATCTGTCAGCAGAACTTATCATTCTCCTCACAGTCTGTTAATTCCATTCTTGTGTTCCACAGGGTCCAGGAGAAGAATGTGGTGGACGTTCACTGGAATTTGGCGTCTGTGGTCCAGGTTTGACATGCATCATTTCCCAGGGAGACCCTGACGCCAAGGGTGTGTGCAATATGAGATTCCTCGCAACTCATTTCTACCCGTACAGAGGGAGTCAGGCTGTGAAGCAGCAGTAAAGGACCTTCTGCCACCCTTGCAGGTGTTGCTCTACACCCGTGGGTCAGCCATCAGTGTGGAATTCCGTGCCACTCAAAGCAGTGTGAAAATCTTAAAATAAATCGGGTTCAAACCCGTGGTAGGCGAATCCTCAATTCAACCCCACCTGTTCTGTAATTGGTTTGCAATTACGATTTCTTGACTCAGTGTGCAAAAATTTATAATAAACTTTCTTGTTGCAAATACTGGTGAGTGAGTTTTATATATTCCATAAATCCTGTTACAGATCTGGCTACACAACTTTCAGTATTTTATGCCATGAATAAACCTTTACAGACATACTGTAAACATACGATTTTTTTTTGTGCCTTCGTGTGATTTTCTTTAAATATAACAAAATGAGTTATGAGCTATGATGGTAATAGTGATGAAGTGGTAGTAGTTGTGATGGTAATAGTGATGAAGTGGTAGTAGTTGTGATGGTAATAGTGATGAAGTGGTAGTAGTTGTGATGGTAATAGTGATGAAGTGGTAGTAGTTGTGATGGTAATAGTGATGAAGTGGTAGTAGTTGTGATGGTAATAGTGATGAAGTGGTAGTAGTTGTGAATGGTAATAGTGATGAAAGTGGTGTAGTTGTGATGGTAATAGTGATGAAAGTGGTAGTAGTTGTGATGGTAATAGTGATGAAATGGTAGTAGTTGTAATGGTAATAGTGATGAAATGGTAGTAGTTGTGATGGTAATAGTGATGAAATATGTAGTAGTTTGATGGTAATAGTGTGAAATGGTAGTAGTTGTGTGGGTAGTGATAATGGTGTGTGTGTAATGGAGTAGTGATGAATATAAGTAGTAGTGTTTTGTTTTTAGTGGTGGTGGGTAGTCACATGGTGTTTGTGTATTAATGGTGTTGCGGTAGTTGATAATGGTGTTGTGGTTATGGAGTTGCAGGTGTTTTGTAATGGTGTTGTGGTGGCGTTGTAGTTGTGTTGTGGTTGTTAGTAATGGTGTTTGGTGGTTGTTGTAATGGTGTTGTGGTTGTTTTGTAACGGTTGTTTATGGTGGTTGTTGTAATGGTGTTGTGGTTGTTGTTGTAATGGTGTGTGGCAGTTGTTGTAATGCTGTTGTGGTGGTTGTTGTAGTGGTGCTGTGGTTGTTATGGTGTTGGTGGTTGTTTGTAATGGTGTTGTGGTGATTGTAATGGTGTTGTGGTTGTTTTGTTAGGTGGTTGGTGTAATGGTGTTGTGGTTGTTGTAATGGTGTTATGGTTGTTGTATAATTGTGTTGTCGGTGGTTGTTGTAATGGTGTTGTGGTTGTTGTTGTAATGGTGTTTGCGGTATTGTTGTAATGGTGTTGTGGTTGTTGTAATGGTGTTGTGGTGGTGTTGTAATGGTGTTGCGGTGGTTGTTTTGCAATGGTGTTGTGGTGGTTATTGTAATGGTATTGTGGTGGTTGTAATGATGTTGTGGTTGTTATGGTTTGTGATGTTGTTGTAATGGTGTTGTGGTGGGTTGTTGTAATGGTGTTTTGGTTATTTTGTAATGGTGTTATGGTGGTTGTTGAAATGGTGTTGTGGTTGTTGTAATGGTGTTGTGGTTGTTTTGTAATGGTGTTATGGTGGTTGTTGTAATGGTGTTGTGGTTGTTGTAATGGTGTTGTGGTTGTTGTTGTAATGGTGTTGTGGTTGTTGTAAGGGTGTTGTGGTGGGTGTTGTAATGGTGTTGGGGTGGGTGTTGTAATGGTGTTGTGGTTGGTGTAATGGTGTTGTGATTGTTGTAATGGCATTGCGGTGCATGTTGTAATGGTGTTGTGGTGATTGTTGTAATGGTGTTGTGGTTTTGTAATTTTGTTATGGTAGTTGTTGTAATGGTGTTGTGGTTGTTGTTGTAATAATGTTGTGGTTGTTGTTGTAATGGTGTTGTGGTTGTTGTTGTAATGGTGTTGGGGTGGGCGTTGTAATGGGGTTGTGGTTGCTCCTCTAATGGTGTTGTGGAGGTTGTTGTAATGGAGTTGTGGTGGGTGTTATAATGTGTCGTGGTGGTTGTTGTAATGGTGTTGTGGTTGTTGTTATGGTGTTGTGGTTGTTTTCTTATGGTGTTATGTTGGTTGTAATGGTGTTGTGGTTGTTGTTGTAATGGTGTTGTGGTTGTTGTAATGGTGTTGGGGTGGTTGTAATGGTGTTGTGGTGGTTGTTGTAATGGTGTTGTGGTGGTTGTAATGGTGATGTGATTGTTGTTATGGTGTTGTGGTTGTTTTATAATGGTGTTGTGGTGAATGTTGTAATGGTGTTGTGGTGGTTGTTGTAATGGTGTTGTGCAAGTTGTTGTAATGGTATAGTGGTTGTTATGGTTTTGTGGTAGTTGTTGTAATGGTATTGTCGTGGTGGATGTAATGGTGTTGTGGTTGTTGTGGTTGGTGATTGTTGTAATCGTGTTGTTGTGGTTGTTGTAATGGTGTTGTGGTGGTTGTTGTAATGGTATTGTGGTGCATGTTGTAATGGTGTTGTGGTGGTTGTTGTAATGATATTGTTGTGGTTGTTGTAATTGTGTTGTGGTGGTTTTTGTAATTGTATTGTGGTGGTGGATGTAATGCTATTGTGGTAGTTGCTGTAATCGTGTAGTGGTGGTTGTTGTAATGGTGTTGTGGTTGTTGTTGTAATGATGTTGTGGTGGTTGTTGTAATGATATTGTGGTGGGTGTTGTAATGGTGTTGTGGTGGTTGTAATGGTATTGTTGTGGTTGTTGTAATGATGTTGTGGTTGTCGTAATGGTGTTGTTGTGGTTGTTGTAATGGTGTTGTGGTGGTTGTTGTAATGGTGTTGTGGTTCTCATGGTTTTGTGGTAGTTGTAATGGTGTTGTGGCTGTTATGGTTTTGTGATAGTTGTTGTAATGGTGTTGTGGTTGTAATGGTGTTGTGGTTATGGTTTTGTGGTAGTTGTAATTGTGTTGTGGTGGTTGTTTAATGATGTTGTGGTGGTTTTTGTAATGGTGTTGTAGTTTTTCTAATGGTGTTGTGGTTGTTTTGTAATTTTGGTGTGGTAGTTGTTGTAATGGTGTTTTGGTTCTCATGGTGTTGTGGTTGTTTTGTAATGGTGTTGTGGTGGCTGTTGTAATGGTGTTGTGGTTGTTCTCATGGTGTTGTGGTTGTTTTGTAATGGTGTTGTGGTGGTTTTTGTAATGGTATTGTGGTTGTTATGGTGCTGTGGTTGTCCTTATAGTGTTGCGGTGGTTGTTGTAATGGTGTTGTCTTGGTTGTTGTAATGGTGTTGTGGTGATTGTTGTTATGATGTTGTGGTTATTGTTGTTGTAGTGGTGTGATTGTTGTAGTGATATTGTGGTGTTTGTTGTAATGGTGTTGTGGTTGTTGAAATGGTGTTGTGGTTGTTGTAATGGTGCTGTGGTTGTTGTAGTGGTGTTGTGGTTGTTGTAATGGTGTTTGGTGCTTACTGTAATTGTGTTATGGTTTGTAATGGTGTTGTGGTTGTTGTTGTAATGGTGTTGTGGTTATCGTTGTTGTAGTGGTGTTGGGTGTCATATATTGCTGCTTCAGCAAGATGAGCAGTGATAAATTAGACACATGTGCAACTCTTGGGTATCTTTATTGAGGAAACGTTTCGCCACACAGTGGCTTCATCAGTCCATACAAAGGAGAATGGTGAAGAACAGGAGAAGAATGAGATAATCAGTCCCTCAACTTAGAGTCAATATGGTAAGTCCATCAATCTTGAATAAAATACAGCAAATGTGCGGAGAAGTCGCTTCTCTGAACCATTCATCTACAATCCTGTCAGGCACTAACTTTTTGGGATCTTAATACGGTACTTGGGAATTCTTCGCTTGCCTAACTCTTGGGCACGACCTACTTCCACACTGGACAAATGTGACACCACCTACGACTGCTGCACCTCTCCTGCCTACGGTATATAAGCTACTTCTCCGCACATATGCTGTATTCTATTCAAGATTGATGGACTGATTACATCGACTCAAGGTTGAGGGACTGATTACCTCATTTTCCTCCTGTTCTTCACGATTGCATGGACTGATGAAGTCACTGTGTGGCGAAACGTTTCCTCAATAAAGATACCCAAGTGTTGCACATGTGTCTAATTTATCAACGTGTCGGTTCTCTGAACCATTCATCTACAAAGGTGAGCAGTGTTAGTCAGTCTTTCATGGAAACTCTTTGAGGAAATGCCTTCTGAATTAACCAGCCACCTGCAGCTGAACTATTGGTGATGGTGGTGGTAGTTGTAGTGGTGGTGGTAGTGGTGGGGGTAGTGGTAGTGGTGGTGAAAATGGTGGTGTAGCGGTGGTGGTAATGGTGGTGGTAGTGGTGGTAGTGTGGTGTAGTGGTGGTGTGGTGGTAGTGGGTGTGTAGTGGTGGTGGTGGTGGTATGGTGGTAGTGTGTGGTAGTGGTGGATGGTGGTAGTGTGGTGGTGGGTGGTGTGGTAGTGTGGTGTGGTATGGTAGTTGGTGGTGGTGGTGGTGGTGGTAGTGGTGGTAGTGGTGGTGGTATGGGTGGTGGTGTAGTTGGTGGTGGGTGTGTGGTGGTAGTGGTGGTGGTGGTAGTGGTGTGGTGGTAGTGGTGTGTGGTGGTGGTAGTGGTGTGTGTGGTAGTGGTAGTGGTGTGGATGTGGTGGTAGTGGTGGTGGTGGTGGTAGTGGTGTGTGGTGCGGGTGGTGGTAGTAGTGGTGGTGTAGTGGTGGTGGAGTGGTGGTGGTGGTAGTGGTGTGTGGTGTAGTGATGGTAGTGGTGTAGTGATGGTAGTGGTAGTGGTGTAGTGATGGTAGTGGTAGTGGTGATGGTAGTGGTGTGGTAGTGTGTGGTGGTGGTAGTGGTGGTGGTAGTGGTGTGGTGGTGTGCAGTGTGTGGTGGTAGTAGTGGTGGTGGTAGTGGTGGTGGTGAGTGGTAGTGTTGGTGGTAGTGGTGGTGGTGTGGTGGTGGTAGTGATGGTAGTGGTGTGGTGATGGTAGTGGTGGTGGTAGTGGTGGTGGTTGGCGGCAGTAGTGTGTAGTGGTGATGGTAGGTGGTTAGTGGTGATGTGGTGGTGGTGGTGGTAGTGGTAGTGGTGGTGGTGGTAGTGGCGGTGGTAGTGGTGGTGATAGTGGTGGTGGTAGTAGTGGTGGTGGTGGTAGTGGTGTAGTGATGGTAGTGGTGTAGTGATGGTAGTGGTGGTGGTGATGGTAGTGGTAGTGGTGATGGTGGTAGTGGTGGTGGTAGTGGTGGTGGTAGTGATGGCGGTGG